ATTGGAGTAAATTAATTTGAGATGCTGAGATTCCTGTATGCATAATTTTGCAACTTTACAAAGATTTTATTGTCACTCCACTTTCCTAGTTAATACCTGAATGGTACAGACATTTACATGTCCATGTCTCCCTCAAAGAAATTAATACAATGTAAGTGAAATTTTTTTTTTTATGTTTTGTTCATTTCTCTTTTGTCATACAGGACCCCCACAAAAGAGAATAATGCCAAAGTTCGAGCTTTGAATGAGACTGTTCTTAGAATCAATAAACAGAATGAGGAGTTACAGATGGAAAATAAAGCTCTCAGGGAGGACCTGAGTAGGGAAATTGAGGGCAAGGACAAGAAAATTATGGGTAAGGAAATACTTTATTTATTCATTGTTTATAGGGGTCCCAGATTGAAAGTGAACACTATATGTACATTGTATAAAGTCTGGTACAAGGAAAACTTTATTTTACAGGTGACTATGAAGACATGAACAAAAAGCAGCTATTGTCTGTCATCTATAATCTAGAAAAGGTACCTTAAAAAGAAACTTGTTAAGAAAGAACAACTGAACAAATTTTACAGTTCACAGTTTATATAATTTAGGGATACACAGTTGGTGAACAAATAAATATTTAACAGGAATGCTATCGATAATAACTTCTGCTTGAATGTCTGAATTCTGATGTGAGTTATAAAAGAAATATGTTTCCTGTAGAAATTAGAGAAGAGTAAAAAATTAGGAGACACAGATTCCCTGCTGTCTTATGATGGTCGAACAGACAAGAAGCGCAGGCCTAGTTCAGGTAGATTCTATCTCAATTTCTTGTATGTTCATAACTCAGCAAGAATGCATACTTCTTTTAAAAGATCACAAAGATATGGCATTCCTGAACTTTTTGTCAGTTTTCAATAAGTTGGTCTATGTTATAACCTCTCTGAGTGTTACTGAGCATGAAATAAAACTGTTTTCAAATTAGTTTCCTTGATTAATAAAAGGTGCAGTAATTGATCACTCATTCTTCAAAATCAGTGTATTGTATTTTGTCTATTTTTACAGCTGTGTCTAATAAGATAGAACTTGAGGGGACTGTACAGGACCGACTAGATCAGCTAGACAAACGGGAAACAGAGTTACTAGAGGAAGTGGAGAAATACAAAAAACAAGTCAAGAGACTGAAAGATGAAAAAACAGAAAACAGACATAAAATGGAGGAATACGAGTAAATAAAGGAGAAATTTTTATCTCATGTTTCAGTAGTAAATTGAATTTCACAAATAAGATAATATTTTTAAATATGTCACTTGTTTACTTGTAAACAGTATATTGATGGTTATGATTTTAGGACAGATTGTTTTCAGCCAATTTATTCAGTGCTATTTTGCCTCTGTAGGAAACTGATTAAGGAACTCCAGGCTGAGTTAGATTACCTGAGTGACAGACAAGGGAAGGCCACGCCTAGACGAGGAGTCACCCCCCGGGCCATCACCCCCAGGCAGCAATCCCCCAGGTATCAATAATACTGACTCTTTATAAGACTTAACATTTTATTTGTAAAATATTTTTATTCTTCATTGACATTAAAACTGATAATAATATTACACTAATAATAGCATTTTTTTAATTCTTTAAATATATAAATGAATATGCCTGGTATTAAGATGATAATTACAGTTTTGTAAATGTAAATTTGTCAACAGTTAGCATCAAAATCTAACATTTTTTGTCAAATAAAGCCATCTATTATTTTCCATATAATAATAAGATAAATAATGTTTGGTAAAATTGGTGTCTAAAAATAAGGTACATGTATATTTAAAATCTTGTTAAAATCTTAAAAATTTGGAAGTAATGCTTGATTATATCCAATTCATAAACATTCCATATCATGCCTAGATAAAATGAAAGGTCTGTAGAAACTGGAGATTTTTCTACACATACAGTCTCAGTGTTTCAATTTTACATATAAATGTGTTACAGAAACAGTCGACCTCCCAGTGGAAGGAAATATTCCGTAGACAGCACCTCATCAGAGGGACGGAGGCGGAGAAGAGTAAGTACAGTCTCTAGCACTGAGAATTAGGCACGAAGGAAGGCACATCATGTATCCTGAAAAACAATCTAGACGACACTGCTCCTATATCAAAAGCCACTTACTTGAAAAAAATATGTACATGTATATACAATATTATTCAAATCAGTTAGCCTACAAAGCATTATTTTTATTTTAAAAAATGTTACTGTCAGTAATGAAGACTTGAATAATTGTTTTTATACCCCCCGCAATCGAAGTCTTATTATTCAGTTGAAAAAGTCTTTCTTATGGATAAATTTGGTAGATTCTCATTTCACACAAAGATTGCCCATGACGTTAGGGTGTGTCATGACCTTGACCCAAGGTCATTTGGGGAAGTTCAAGGTCACTGGAAGAAAAATTTCATGGTCCATATCTTTCTTAGAAATGTGGTAATTTCATTTCATGTGTGATACATATCTTTATTATGGAAAAACGTACTTCTGAAAAACCCAGCGGGGGGTATTTTGTCCTGTTTGGACAGTTGTAGTTTAGCAGTAATTTTAAAGGATGTAAATTAATTACATTTGATAGGAACAAGAAGATGAGGAGAAATTAGAAAGCTTTATGAAGAATCGAGCTGCCAAGAAACTACAGAAAGAATGGAAGACACACAGGAAAGAAAAGAGAGAGCAAGAGGTAAACATCTGTAGTACTGTTATAGATGTAACCAGTATCATATCATATCTATATACATGTCATATAACAGTGTCTCTGAAGTATTATTCCATATGGGTCTCTTTTTTCAAATAACAAGGTGCCTGTGTCTCACTTTCCGTGTATAGATTAGAAAATTAGACTAGCAATGTATATTTATTTGTCAGTAGACTGACTGTACAGTCAAACATATTTTGTAATTAACATGAACATAGCAAATTCATGGACATAGCAAAGGTTTTTTTGGACCAGGGGATTATTGAATTGTAATTTATGTAGCTAGTTTACAGTGTGATGATAGCAAATTAATTAAGTTCAATTTATTATTTAAAACTTCAATTTGAAAATCCATTCAAAAGAAAAACATGCATATTGAGGATTTCTTATACATGTATATTCATGAGTATATGTTTAAAAACTCATTTTTCAGAAATAACAAATAATGGTTATCCCAATTTAGATTCCCAAATCCCAAAGACTTTTACTGTATATGTATTAAAAATGTGTCTTGTATTATAAAGACAAAACATCTGCACAGGACTTGAAATTACACATGATTATATTTTTTGGGTATACATGTACTCATTATCTCTCAGCTTTAGCAACTTTTTTATTGTTTTATTCTTACATTAATTTTTACAGTTAATTTGCTTGCATGGCATCTTAAAAATTTCAATCATTACATTTATTTCATGTCATTAATTGTCCTTGAAAATGCCAATGCATGATAATTTTACTTATGATAATTAATAAATCTCATCAGGAGTTAAATGAATTAGCCAATAAGCACCGAGAAACGGTAGCCGCTCGTAGAATTCAGCGAGGATGGCGGACACATCATAGAGATATGGAAGACAGAAATGTAGGTCATGTTTTGCTTGGTGTGGATTTCCCCTCCTGTATATTAATACACATGTATCACCTTATAACTATGTATCACTTATGACCCTTACTAACATTCACTTAATTTTTTTTTCATATTTAGTCAATAATTTGTATTCAGAAATGAATTTTAAATTTTATTTAATAATTTTAATTGCATTCATAGAGAGTAGATAAACTAAATATGTCAGCACTTATTTAGAAAGCAATTCAAGCAAATTCAAATTCCATGTGCATGCAGAGTATTTGAAGAATTGTGATGAATAGGATGTGTGCAGATTTAAAGAAACGAGAAATGTGTGTGTGGATTTTGTACATTATATTTCAGTCATTTAGTACATGTAGATTATTGTGATATTTTCATTAGCAAAAAGAGCTAGAAAGTAAGGTAGAACAAATGAAAAGAAAACATGCTGCCAGAATTATTCAGAAACAATGGAAAAATCACAGAACTAATGCAGAGAAAAAGAGAGAGGTGGATCAAGAATTCAGTGTAGGTCTGGGGTGTAAATTGATGCTGCTTGGCTAATGAATGCTTTATGGCAATTTACACATTAAAAATGAGCTTTATGACATCTCTTCTGAAGTCTGTCTTTCTATGATAAAATTATTGATTGTGTGAGTAAACCATCTTGTACTAAATTTACTGAATTGTGTAAATGTTCCCTTGTATGTCCTAAAGTTTGTGAATTTTAGAGCTTTCCGTGGTGTAACGCATTTGATATGCTAAACGGGTATACAATGTCAAGGTCATATTCAGGTTCAACTTTAACTTGAAATGTGCCGCTGTAGAAGATGGTAGCTAAACAAATGCAATTATTTCACTGACTGAAAATGCTGCTAGATAGATTTTGTGTGTGATTAACTGAGCTTTGCTTCGGCATTTCATGTTTTTGTTTTAAGCCATTTTTTAAAAGCCATTTTTTAAAAAAATATCCCTTTGCTTATTTACACAATGTATGAATTTTGATGATAGATTGTATGAATTTCAATTCCTAGATATACTTTATTCGTACTTTTTGTTTAGAGCATGATATTTTTTTTTTTATAAATTGTGATGTAAAATACTGGTGTAACATAATCTAATATTCAACAGGTCGGAGAGAATATTCGAAATCGGGTATTATCCGTGAAATCGCGTATAATACTCGATATTATGGTATCGCTGAATCCGCGAAATCGGGTATAGGAGGTGTAATCACCTAATAAAACTTAAACAATGGGATGGCGCATGTTGCCGAGTTAACTTTCATCTAGATACACATGTTTTCTAAAGGTATCACTAGCCAAGTAAGAATTTGGGCATCGAGATTAATGCGCTGAGGACAACAAATACCCGTGGAGCTCAGTACATTTCATGATCTGCACACAAAAAGGCGTTCAATTTGCTTTATATTTTTCACAATGTTGAAAGTATATGCATCTTCCTAATGTTCATTCCCAACACAACAGAATTGTAAAGTATCAGAATTCGGGAATTTATCATAATTTCACATCAACACGACAAACATGAACAATTTGTAAATGAATCAAATTATACGGAAACACATTCCACACACAAGATATGATGCCATGTATAAACAGGGGATTGTCTATCGTATCTAATTATGCGTCATTAATTACTTTCACATTCATCTTGTGCATAAAATCAAATTTATTTATGAATGTATAAATAATGTAATGATAAAAATGTCTAAAATTTCCGCTAAAAAACCCTCTTTCTCTTTTTAGCTCACCTGAGCTGAAAGCTCAAGTGAGCTTTTCTGATCACATTTTGCCCGGTGTCCGTCTGTCTGTCCGTCTGTCTGTAAACTTTTCACATTTTCGACTTCTTCTCAAGAACCGCTGGGCCAATTTCAACCAAACTTGCCACAAATATCCTTGGGTGAAGGGATTCAAGTTTGTTTAAATGAAGGGCCACGCCCTCATTCAAGGGGAGATAATTGGGAATTAATGAAAATTTTGTGGCATATTTTAAAAATCTTCTTCTCAAGAACCACTGTGCCAGGAAAGATGAAACTTATGGGGAAACATCCTCAGGTAGTGTAGATTCAAGTTTGTTCAAATCATTAGGTAGGGCGGGGCCAAAATGGCCGACCTAAGTTTTACATAGAAATATATAGGAAAATTCTATAAAAATCTTCTTCTCAAGAATGACAAAGCCATAATTCATCATATTTATATGGAAGCATGCTCAGGTAATGTAGATTCAAATTTGTTCAAATCATGACCCCCGGGGGTAGGGCGGGGCCAAAATGGCCGACCAAAATTTTACATAGAAATATATAGGAAAATTCTTTAAAAATCTTCTTCTCAAGATTAGCAAAGCCATAATTCATCATATTTATATGGAAGCATGCTCAGGTAGTATAGATTCAAGTTTGTTCAAATCATGACCCCCCGGGGTAGGGCGGGGCCAAAATGGCCGACCAAAGTTTTACATAGAAATATATAGGAAAATTCTTTAAACATCTTCTTCTCAAGAATGACAAAGCCATAATTCATCATATTTATATAGAAGCATGCTCAAGTAGTGTAGATTCAAATTTGTTCAAATCATGACCCCCAGGGGTAGGGCGGGGCCAAAATGGCCAACCAAAGTTTTTAAAGATTAATATAGGAAAATTCTTTAAAAATCATTTTCTAAAAAATAGCAAATCCATGATTGGTCATGGGACTACTTTTGGATTTAAACTTTACAATAAAAAACCATTTTCT